ACCGCCGGTAAGTTACCCTATTGCTTCCTGTGGGGCTTTCCTGAAATTACTTGGTCCCTCTGGGCCCTTTGAGCTCAAGGCAAGTTCAAGCATGGGTCGTTTATCTAACATAGCACGGCGGGATTGTACTGGTTCCCCAAAGCGTCTTAGCAGACGCGGTACGAATGAAGTATCGATAGGGAATGTACTCGGTTACTAATGTAACCTCGGATCCCTGAGATATGGGAACGAGTACTGCATTGCTGGCTGTGCTATGTACCAGCACGACTCGGTCGTCGCTTCAGTCGAAGTAACCTGAGGATCCTATGGCGAAGTGCACGCTTATATAGCCAGATGCCCCAAATTAGCGGGCTCTGGCAGGCTGTGCCGCCATAGGTTCGTGCAGCTCCTCTGCCGAGCCATTGTTTCGTTTTTAATACACTGCATGAACCAATGGCCGTGAAGTTACACTGTGTGATTGAAAAAGGCTTCAGTATTCTGAGAAAAATGAGTTTTCCCCAAAGCATCTTAGCAGATGCAGTACTTGTTCCCGTATCTCAGGGAACCGAGGTTACGTTTGTAATCGAGTACGTTTTGTTTTGTATGTTTAAAAAAAAACAAAAAAAAACAGAACAATGACAGAATTTTCATTTTGGATTAAACTATCCCTTTAAACACTAGAGCCTTACACAACATATATTTAACCTACAGTATATGATAATAACATATACATGTCCACATACATTCAAAAAATTTGCAGCAGATTAAAAAAATTCGCTAGAGGGCCTTTTTAGAAACACACAGAGACACTGACTGTGTCATTCAAGTATCTGCCAGTTAAATCTCACTGTAACAAGTTACAAATCCCTGACAGCACAGAAACACTGATTAAATTACACTGGGGCATTTAGAGCTGCTGTCAGCTAAACAGTCCTGTTCACACAAACTTATCAAAACACTGAAGAACAAACCTAAATGTACATTATAAACTAAAATGCACACACATTCATCTGTGATAAGTGTCATTTTTTGCTGAGTTGAGAAAATATAATAATGGCAGGTTTTGTGTTAAATAAATAGCGAAAAAGTACACTTTAGCATACTTTAAAACACACCAAATATACTTTTAAACATATATACTTAAATGGAAATTGATTGTGATTTTGTCAGACACTTACACGTTAACTGCAATTAAATGAAAATGCATTATATTTTACATTTATATTAAATGCAATTGGTTGAACTTAAGAGTGATTTTTGGCCCATTTAAGTAGGACTAAAGTATGCAATTTCATAATACTTCTATTGTTTACTTCTATCATACATGGTTAAAGGGTACTGCCAGTCATTTATTAATTTATTTATTTTCTAAAATGTTTTATTATTTTTGCCTCTTATTGTACAATATAGAAAGAGAGTTAGAAATAAGGAGATTGCATGGGACAAGACCCATGCCAGATTCAAACCCTGGTCCCCACAAGCCAAAAGTTAATATGCACTCAGCAAGTGTGTTACCAGCTGCAGTTATAATTTAAAGCTGAAATTGAGTACATTTAAAATATATTAAATGTATATCAAATAAAACATTACAGTTAAATTATGATGAAGTATTTTACATGTGCTTTAAAATGTTACTCAACAAAGTAAAACATTTAATATGATATAATTTTACAAAGCACACTTTTTAAAAGTGTACTTACTGTACGTGTGTTAAGAAACTGTCATGAAAGTGTAAGCACGCTTTAATAACACTTATGTGGCTTTTTATTTCATTGTATTATCTGCAAATACATGTTTTTAAATATACAGATTTGAAGTACACTACAAGTGCTCATTCAATACGATTAAGGGCACGTCTTTTCACAAGGGTATTAATTAAAACATCAATGTAATATACTCCTGGAAAATAACTTGGTAGTTTAGGCAAATGCGCCATCTTTTAAAACAATGTATCTAACCATCAAATAGTATGTGTAATTAATTCTCTAATAGTGGATTTGTATGTTGGTTTCAAACATCAAGAAACCTTTTAAATTAGAATTAATTTCCTGATCTTCAGACAGAAACAAAATCTATATCCTATTTTTTCCTTTATAGCTAATGAGTGAACACAACAAAAAGTTGTTTGCATAAAACATAATGAAGGTACTTTTTAACCAAAAGATAAAACTGTATTCTAAGGGCATTCTTCATAAATGTCAGTCAGGAAAAGCTGTCACAATTGTATTGGGTCAAGTTTGTGTTTTAAATGTTATATATTCATATAATTATTTATTATAATACTTTTGGGCAAAATAGTTTGGACATTTGTAAGCATTATATATTTCTGCTGTTTCATGTGTGTGTGTTTTACTGTTTGCCAAAACATACAATTTTCCCCCAAAAAAACTGTAATGACAGGTTCCATTGTGACAACCTATTCATATAAAGTGACAACATGCCCTATTGAAAATAATCTATTTTAAACAAATAAAAACCCTAATCTGAAAAATACTCACTGGAGTCAAGAAATCTGCAACTAACCTACATAAACGTATACATACACCAGTAGTATCTCACCTGTATATCAGTTATTAAGTAAGACACAAAGTACCCTACAGGAATAAACGTTAAGGAGATCACCCAAAAATGAAAATCCTGTAATCATTTACTCACCCACATGTCATTCCAAATTTGTATGACTTTCTGTCTTCTGTGGAACATGAAAGAAAATATTCAAACAGTGAAAGTGAAAGTTCACCGATACAGTCTGGTTCCCAATATTGTCTTTTGTGTGTTTGTGTTCTGCAGAAGAAAGAAAGTCGTACAGGTTTGGGACAGCATAAGAGTGAGTAAATGATGACACAAGTTTTTGGAGTATATTTTTGGGTGAAGAATCCCTTGAATTGACAGTTCATCTCCTTCATGAGAACAAAACATATCTGCAAAAATGTTCCCATTTACACTTCTCTGTTTCCAAATGCTTGGTAAGACTGCGGTGACTGAACTGAACGGGGCACTTGATGGGCCTGCACGCTCCCGCCATCACAGCAGCTCCATCAGGGCCGTTACTCGCAGCTCTCTGGCGCCTCTCGAAGAGTGAGCTTGTAATCGCAAAGAGATCATCGTGGACAAGGTTCTCATCCTTTTTAAGCAAGGTCATTGAACTATTCCTCATATATTGTCCCTGCAATGATCAAATGAGAGTGGACCGTCGCAGATGAATGCTGTGACTACTGCGCGCGAGGGATGATGATGCTCGAGCACTATATTCGGTTCCTTTATTTTTGATATTCACACAGTTAATTAAATGAGTATTTCACTGGCTAATTTGCCTTCACTGTTAGGACCACATGTTGACCACAAATCAAATCTAATTTTCTTTGGGCTACCAGTAAACTGATAAACAAACGTAATGATAAACACGTCTGCACGAACATCTAAAATGCTAAAAAGGTTTATGAGATAGTTGGGTTTAGGACTACTATAGCCATCATTTGCTCAGAATAAAAACAATAGGGTAGAAGTCATGTCCCCACCATGTTACATAAACAAAGTGTGTGCCTGTTTGTGTGAGAGAGAGAGAGAGAGAGTAAAGGGAGTCTTCTAATTATATTGTCTAAAACATTTAATAAAAATGCATATATTACCCTTTATCCAGACTTATTCCGCGTGAGGGAGTGTCATTTCTACCATTCCTTTCAAGTACGCATCCTTCAATTAGAATGCTGTTCCCGTCGCCTCCCACTACTGCCGTATAATTAGACTTGAGAGATTCAGCTAATCTCTCTCTCTCTCTCTCTCTCTCTCTCAGTTCCATTCTGATCGTCTAATTTCACCTCAAAGGCATATTTTCACGGTGTAACTCGCTGGTTAAACAAGGCCATATCCATTTGTTAATTGATGCAATTACGCATTTCTCGTAATGGTCGCGTAGGTCCCGAGATACGCATCAATCAGTTTTCTGTTGACCTGCCAGAGGTTCTCTTCACGTCTACCGGGACTGGCCCTCTCTCTAATAGAGAGAGATGGAAACATCATCGCAATTAACATCAGGTCGGACCTCTGATCGGTCAGACAGATGCGAGCAAGGGTCCTGCAGATCCCTCCTCAATTAATTTGCTCATCAACGGAGTAGTGTCTGATATGTAATAATAATAATAAAAAGAGAGGAATCGAGAACATAATCCTATATTGGAAAGACAGATAAATAGTATATTGCTACATATTTTATATAAATACAAATAAATGATAGTTATGATTACGTCTTGAATAGTGATATACTATCTTTATGAACTTGAAATTATTGTACTTGAATAAAAAATATTGTCAGGGGCGTTAATGAGAGCACAGATAACAAGTAATAAAACGATATTTGGCATTACAACCTCATTTTCTAATGAATATTCAAAACATATATATATATATATATAGACTATTACTAAAACAAAATGAAGAATGATTTATTGTTTATATTCATTCTATCGCTTTTAGCAAACCCAGTCATACTTTTTGCGTTCTAAGTCTTGGAATAGACTAATGTTTAAAAAGAAAAGGAAAAAACACAGAGGGGACAGGGGTGTGCAAAACACACCTCAAGAAAAGCGCGAAGCATGACGTGATTGGCAAAGACATCATTCTATCCTCGCCGTCCCGGGATTAGGATGACGTCACACTGATACCCGTGCATGGAGGACCTCTAAAGAACTATAGAGGCACAAATAATAGCACAACCACAAGTTCATATCTTGCAAGTCTTACGTTATCATTTAAGCTTTCTACAGCTGTTTAACAACAATAGTTTTTGTACTTGATGAAGCTTAACTCTAATTTCTCATTTCCTTAAGGGGATTATCTATAGGCTACATATAAATCTAGGGCTGGCGTAAACATCCTCAGTGCTTGCCAGATAAGTGCAGTCATCTATTATTGAGCGAAAGGCCGACTGTGGAAATGTGTGTAAAACGGTGGATTTGAAGTAGATTTGGTTTCAATCGATCAGCGGGAGAAGAATATTGCTTATGGTAACAAAAGAAGCAGCTATGTCTTTCTCTCAGTTTGGATATCCTTACAATGCAACTTCTCAGGTAAGCATGAAAAATATATTTTTTTTTCTCATGTAGATTCTTAATTAGCGCGCGCAATGCTTTTTTCCCACATTCTGTCATAATTTCTGGACCTCAGTAACTAACACTACTAGGTAGCAGCAGGTTGTTCTGTCACTTAGTCCTAAAGTAAAGTTAGGCGATATCGTGGGGTTTGTCAATATTTATAGTAATGTGTTATTTGAATTATAAATGACCTCACGTGTTGTTGTAAACGTGTAAATTACCTTTACAGTGTAATTGTTCAGAGTGAGAGCGAGACTCCTCCCTTTGCTGTGTATAAACTAATTATACATTTACAGATAACGGATAGATAATTTTGACAACATAACTTACAATCAATTATAGTTGTAATTTAATGTTAAAAAAGACGGCTATGGTGTTAAAAGACGCCGCGCTTGCTGCTGGTTAACTTTGTTACCCTGACGCAAAACTTACAGAAAGTTTTACTTTCATCTTTGACAGAAACAGCTTTTTTTTACGCCGAACGTATAAATCGCCTATTTTTAAGTAAATGT